GGGGACTCTGTGGCCGGCTGAGCGTGCAGGGAGGGAACTGGGTGACCCCAACACCTCCGGTGGATTTCCATGGGAAAAAGGGCACCTGTGTTTGGCAAAGTTTGGTGAAAACGTTTTAGGGCCGCGTTTGGTAACAGCGGAGGCTAAATCGTGATGTTTTTTTCCAAACCTAAAGGGGAGTGTGATTTGTCACGAATCCTAGTTTTTGGCACGCAGTTGTCGCCTTGTAGCACAGGTGTGCAAAACATGTCTTATTCGTTCATGAGCACTATTGGATTCCAGCTTGCGCTCGGCGTTGGTTATTTCGATTGGCTCCTTTACTTCTTTATTGGTGGTTTGGGGGTTTGAACCCCCAGTTCCTGTGAATCCAAATGGAGAAAGTACCCGCGAAGGTCCAAGCTACCAAACCAAACTGCGAGCAGGGTTAAGGTGACGTAAACAAGAACTGTGCTGTTGCTGGTTGCTCGTTAAGATTGCTTGGTCGGTTCGCTTCTGTTCGTGGAAGCTGGGCACTAAAGCGCGCATTATTAGCTTCCCCTAAAGGAAGCCACAAGGGAATGAAGCTGATTTTTCCAGACTGCCTCTTCGGCTCCCAGGAAAGTGGGAATCAACTACAAGATCATGTTTTCTGCTGACCTGCCCATGCAGCGGTGAGTAGCTGCATCCATTCGAGTTCTTTGCCCCACTTCAGGTCGGTTGGATCTCCGCCGGCAGCTGAGAGCGACACCGCATGTTGCTTCAAAGCCACGCGTTTAAAATTGTAGCTGGAACCGTTGCTTCCTTCGAGATCAAATCCAATAATCCTGGTAGAAATTCACTGGCAGCAGGTTCCTCCAACCGCTTCAAAATTGATCAGCGATCCGGCTAGAGCAATCCTGGCCAAATCACGAACCCGTCGGAGTTCAATAGGCGGTGGGCTCCAAAAGCAAGGGCTCCCCCGAAACAAAATCAATCATGAGTTTATTATCCGATCCTGCTATCTTGCTTCCGGGGATTTGGCAGTCTTTGTCGGAAGTGCTGTGCGCTGGAAACGGTCAATGTGCCTTTTGAGGGCAACTTGACGACACATGAATCAACCTCTGGCCACAGTGCGCCTCTTTTAGGAGGGGGTCGTCTGACAATCAACTACCAAACATGTTTGAGGGAGTCTCAACTTGCCTGGGAGGGGTCCGTTGAATTTGGCCATCGCTGTGGGCATGAAAAAGAATCCGGTCCCCAATAATCAACATAAAACATCTCGGAGGATTTTCATTGTTAGGGTCTCCCGGTTTTTGGCCAGAGCTGCTTCATTGTGTCAGTTGGAGACCCTGACCGTGAAATACAAACCGTTGTGGACTGTCATTGGGGTTGGGGGCTAGCTTGAATATCGGCTGGCTTGTTCAACACCTAAGAGCCAGTGATTAGCGAATTTGCAAATCATGTGGTTTGGGTCGCGGATTACCGTATCTTCTGAAGGGAACTTAAGGAGACCCTCATTTTTAAAAACCTCCGTCGTAAGCCAACCCCTTGGTTTGAGAGGAAAGAAGCACTCAGAACACAACTTTGAGGAAGAACTTGTGAAGGGAACCTACTGCTACAATACTACAAACATCCCCAGCAAGGCGTGGTTTGAGAGAAAAAACACAAACTACAAAGAACTTATGAGGGAGAAGCCAGTGCTGGTCGTGCCTACAGGATTGATGAGAGGACATGATATAATCAGGAAACACATCCTGAACTTCCTCAATAGCCATGACCTGACAATTAAGGTGGTTTCCAGAGAATTTAGTATTGGTTTAGCATTGGCTAATATATACGCAATAGTGGCCATTGTTCGGCTGGAATGGTTTTTATTATTGGGTGCGTGTTTATAAAAAAGCACGAAGGGATGAATGTCCAGCGGGGAGGTTTCAACCAAGATTGATCAACAGGGCGATGGTGCTACCTGGTATGAATAGGCAGACAAATCGTGACCGCAATGATTACTACCGGTGCGTCAAGCTGATGAGCGGCCAAGGAATTGCACAGTCTCAATTTGCCCCATTGATAATGGGCTTTTACTGGGAACAGCCTGGTGCTTCGAACCCAGCCCCGGCCCCGCGGTGTTCTTGCTTGGGCTACTCCGAGGCAAAAATGGAGACCCATTAAAACGGATCGTTGGAGGAATCTACGCGCAACGGTCCCTAACAGACTGATCTTATGACTCTTTGAGTTTCTGGAATAGTCGCTGGTTTGGAATAGTCGCTGGTTGGGACTTCGCTGCAAAAAGAAGAGTTTCGACTTTTTGGTTGGCCGATGTATTAGAGCCTGAGGGCCTCGCGAAGCCGCGAAGCCGCGAAACCGGGCCCAGGTGTTCACCAGGAACGGCACCTTGCACCAGAGGCGCCGGTGCGTTGGGCCCACTCCACTTGCAATTCATGTCCCAGCCGGTTGCCAATTTGAATTAATTGGTCAGGTCTGCATCTTTAGACTTCAACTTTCTGGGAAAGCAAGGGTTCTCCATTGAACCCACAAAAGGCTAAACTCTTTGCAGAGGGGTCAAACCGATTTTGGGATTGAGGTTGTGTTTGTCCCGAAAACATGGCCGGGGAAACCCAAAATTGTCGATAAACCACCAAGTGGACCAAGTGGTGCCAACCGAATTTTCTCCGTCCACATGGCTCAGATGAGTAGGTCGTTTTGGGTAGGTGTTCCATGGCCTTGTGTTAAGAATTTGGTTTTAGTTTCCCCTGTCGGTTCTAAAGGGAGTCTATCACTACTGGAAGTATGCGTCATTTTCTCCAGGCACCTTAAGCAAATGGAAGTAACCGTTCCATATGTATTGGTATTGCGGGGTTGGCATTTGTTATCGCACGCCCGAACGACCGAGAAAGAAGAGCGGATCACGTGGGACAACTAACAGACCAAGGATGGAAACCACGTTTATTCACATTTGAACATTCCAGACCGAATGTTCTTATGGTTGCCAAGGGTCCCCCAGAGGCAAACGGCCCAATCCCAATGGTTGTTTTCTGACTGGTCGGATTTCAAGAAGAACAACGTTCTCTGCTGCAATTGGTAAAGCCCCCTACCGCAGGGCTGGTACAAATATGGCCCATGAGCATGGGTGGAGCAACAGCGCTTAGGGGGAAGCGGTGTTTTGGTTGGGAACAAGGGCATTGGCCCCATTTCCTTCACGTGTACCAAGTGAGTCCCCTTTAGTGTGAGAAGATGTGAGAAGGCCATTGAAAGTTGTATTTGCGGGGGGGGGGATCCCATAAGTGTTTAGAGATGGCGCAGCGTGCCAATGGCCAAGAAATCCAGCGGAGCATATGATCAAAATGTGGACCCCCTGAACCTGGAACTGGGATCGATCCCAAGGGCCTCATGATTCTACCATCAAAGTCAGCGTTGAGCGATAGCTTAAAGGGAAGCAGCAAAACAGCCCCAATTGGCTAACTTCGATAAAATAAACTGCTCCAAAAGATGACTCCAGTCCCAAGGGCTCTGCCGCACGAATCGAATGGCTCGCAGCTTTCGAGCCGAAGAGGCCAAGAAATAGGTTTTACGACCTCCAGTGCCGAGGGGTTTCCAGAAAACTACCAAAATGAGTGCCCGCTTTTTCCTTTGGCTACTGGGGGTCTGAAAGTTGGGGCGGTTCTATCAACGGCTGATTGCTCGGGCCAGTACGAACTCAAGTGCATTTGAGGCCGATGAGATGGCCGTTTGAAGCAGAGTTGTGACGAAGGGTAAGGCAAGTACCCTCCAGCAGAGTCATTCACACAGATTTGTTGGTATCCCTCTGATTTGAGTTCTGCACGGCTTCCGCAGTTTGCGCAGTAGCAGGCTCAGCCAATCTGAACATCGTGACCAAAAGCTATGAACCCGTGTGGCGGCGGATGCATTTCAGAACGCAATCCTTGGGTTTTCTGTGGTTTGGAGAGATTTGTGCATGTGTGAAATTTGGAGCCCCTCAAAAAGGTCTCTCTTTTTGCTTCCCCCTTACACCCGCGAAGAACTCAAAAAGCATGCCCATTGGATAGTTCAGAGAGGTTGGAAGTTACCCGGACATACCCTGCCCGTGGTTTCCCCCCAAAAAGGGAAGCCAAAGGGGGAATTTCACGCACCCCCTTCCCGGGATAACAACCGCACCGGCTCCTTTGGGTCTCGCCTCAAAGACAAAAGGGGAATTTCATTCTCAAAACGGACCCCTCAAACCGGAGGGGTTCCAATTAAGTCCTTAGACTTTATGGCTATGTGGTTGGATCTTTAGACTTTCACTTTTTGATTGAAACCGTGGGTTTTCCACTGGACCAAGCTTTTTCCAGAGGGGTCGTTGCAGCAACCAAGTCGGCCTCCGGCTCGGAAGTGGCTTATGTGGGACTTCGATGAGTTGGAGCACCTGGAAGCCGCTGGCCCGCCCACCCGCTGGCCCTGGCACCGTGACGCGGGCCGCCACGCTGGCCGCGACGCGCCGGGCGACGCGAGCCGCAGTGCGGAGCGAGGCAGCGGTCGGGGGGCTGGTGGCTGTGATATGCTGTGATTACCCTCCAGGGCAACATAGCTCCAAGACATTCCAAGACCCCCTTCGAAGACTTCGAGCAGTGGCCTTCTGGGAGCTTCCATGTTGGTAGGGAGGGTAGTACTTGTTTTCTGGTTCGCTTTCTGCCAAAAAGGAGCCAGATGCACCGGGTTGGCCAACATGAGTGGTGCATCCGCCAAAAGTTTTTGCTCCTGAGTCCTTTGCTTTTCCTCTTAATCTCAGAGCTCCTGCGTTTTCGCCAACTGCCAACAAGTGGCGTGTTTGGTTTGTTTGGGTCCGAGGCCACTGAAGTTCTGTTGAAAACTCTTTTCCAAGCGCCAGACAGTTAGATGTGTTGGTTCGCGGAAGGTGCGCTGAGCGTGGAATGCGTGGAATGCCTTGAAACAACTTGGGTGAACACATGTGTTGCGTTGATAAACCTATTTTCGCTCATGTGCCGGGGTTGAATGTTCAAGGTTGTTTATTGCTACAGATGTGCAACCATCCACTTCACCATGCCATGCCAAGTGCAGGTTTGGTCGGGTTTGGTTCTATGGCCCTGTTCATGTGTTGCGCTTGTCGGACTCTATATATGTTTAATCATAGCTTGTGGCCGCTTTTTGCAATACGTGTGAATCCGTTGGACATAATCCCCAGTTCGACCCTGCAAGTATGTATAACTAGGAGCTAGCTTCCAAAATCACTGGTTTGTCCAACGTGAATCGGCCAAAAAGGCTTTGGAAACTGGCTTAAGCCTCTTGACGTGGAGTCATAATGGCAAACTTCGGTATCGCAAATAACGATTTCGGGCCCTTTCAGCCTTTCTTGAGGTAAAGGGTGCGGATCGCATCCATGACCAATTTCCCACAGACGAGCGGATCGCACGCGGTTGCAACATGTAGGTGTCCAATTTCCAGCCAGTTTGTGAGGGAACCCTTCGTGTTTGCTTTTGTTCGGAAAGCCAAAAAGAGAGCCACCATTTGGGTGGTCTAAAGGCAGACAGATATTTGTTGAGGGGTAAGGACCAATCTTGGGTCAGGACCCAGGTTGAACCCCAACCCCCAGGCCCGCCCAACCCGCCGGACGTGGACTCGGAGGAGTTCCGAAGCCGGCGCCGCATTGCCGAAGCGTCCAGCTGGCAGCAGGTGGGGCTGGGGCGCGGGGGGGGTGGAGTTGTGGGCAGGGTGGCGGCGTGGGGCCAGGGCTAAACCACGCGCCAATAGTCACCAGGCACCTTTGATCTACAGGCACCAAGGGTCTGTCTTTTTTGAGGGTGCCCTTTTTGGTAGCTTTTAGAGGAAAACCAAAGGAAACCGCTTTTGAAAAACACCCAAGTCACCAGCTCACCATTTGCTTCACAGCCATTCTCCAGGTGCTGGGTGTGACTTCGACCTGTCCAGAGTCGGAGCTGAAGCGCCTAGGGCAGAAACCGGGTGGTGGGTCATGGGTGCCGTGTTTAACTGCAGGAATGTCGAAAGTACCAAGGTGACTCGCACAGGGCAAAAACAACACGTTGTGTGTGTGTGTTGTCAAAGAAGAACAATGTTTCCACATGTTGGCACCGAGGAAGGCCTATCGGACACTGGCGCTGCTGCACCACCCGGACAAGGCGACCTCGGAGGCGGCGGCGAGCCTTTGAACAACTTGGGCTTTCCTCCGCTTTTGTAAGCGATCCGAACCCAGGGCTAATAAACCTCTATGTTACAATAGACCCCTTCATAGGGGTGCAATTTGAAGGGGTCCTTCACTCACTTGCCCAAAGCGAATCGACCCTGTTGACCTCTTATTTGGTCCATGTTTAGTCATGACCCCAAAACCTTAGATATTTTACTTCTGGGTTATTCGGGCAACTGAGATCATGTGTCCGAAAAGTTGTCCCCCGGAACCTTACAAGTTCGGAACCCTTCTTCATTTTAGAATGGCAACTTCATCATATACTCTGCGCATTTATCAAAGGAACCCCAAACATATTGCGAATTGTTAGGAACATGTCCCGGCCCCCCATGTGAGGTTGTAGTCAGATGCGCCCATACAGGGGAGTATAGCCCATGTGCGTCTCATACGTGACCTTTCAACCCCAAGAGGATCCGGATGAACATGCGACGCCTTCCAATCCACCAGGCCCGGTGTCCATCCCCGACACATGTCCTGAGGGACCCACAAGTCAGGACCTTCCGTGCAGTGCAGCGGGCCTATGAGGAAGGCCTGGCGCAGCAGCGCGAGGCGCTCTGCGGGGGTCAAGGGAGCCCTCAGATGATTCACCCTATGTGGGAAACCCAATGTGAGGAAACAACCATGGGAGGTTCTCGGTTTTTGTTTGTGGCTTTTTGTGAATGGCTACAAAATCTATTTCGCTCCAGTTAGTGAGTGGTGTTTCCAAGATTCACAAGGCCTCATCCATCCCAGCTGGTGCATTTTGTGGATTTGGTCCATCCACAGTATGTTCAGGCGCTTTCTATTTTATACCAGGGCGAGCTAGTGGATGACACAATTGACTTTGTCGGGAAAGCAAAGGGCATGGCTCCACCAAAATGGGGAACCCTGATAGTTTCTTCAGGCGAGGAAATGTCTCACGTTTCAAATGTCAGCTGCACCGGGAGCTACTGCCACCACAGGCCAAAGCTGCCTCGCTGGCCAAGCCCAACGAGGTGGTGGAAGCCTCTGACAGCGAGAGGCGGGTGCTGACCCCCAAAAGCGTGGGTGTGTCTCAATATAGGGGGTGGTTTCCTCTTGGCTTCGGTGTTTTGAGACATCCAAGGGCCTGATTCCAATTTTGAGACATGCTTCATTGAATGGTTGAATCGTTTGCAGCTTTGGTTCAGATTTCCCAACAGGTCTCGCTTCCTTGAGGCTACCTGGCTTTGTGGTTCACAGGGACGCGAAAAGCACTACCAGCATGTTGGCCTGAAAGGAGTTCCCACGTTTACGGGGATTCCTTAATGGAAGTTTCTTGGGCTCCATGTTACTTAGCAGTGGGCCCTTCTTGGCTGCATTTCTCCTCTCGCAAGGCAGCAGTGGCCTGTGCACCCGTGCGCCTCCAAGGCGGGAGGTTCAGCGAAATCCCTTTCGCGGGCGGGCAGACTGGAGCCATCCGGTGGATGGATGCGAAATCCAGTTCGGATCGTTTAGAAATCCTGGTTTCTGATTCAACTCCCAAACGTAAATACCAGCAAAGAATGGTTTCAAGCAACCATGGTTTCATTTCGTAGTGCGAAATGGATGTCGCAACCCTCCACAGTATGGAGCCCGGGGGGAACCAACGAAGCAACAATATGGAACGCTACAGAAACCCTTTCAAGTTGTTCACGGCAATGTAGCAACTAGCAACTGATTGAGGGACACTCCTAATCGGGATTCACGGCAGTCCTTGAACACACAAATCAGCTTCTCCAAGCCTCCCAGATAATCACCCACCCTGCCAGCTGGGGTTTCGGGTAAAACGACAGGCCAGAAATTAGAGATATCCATTGAATCTTTCTTGGGGGAACTGCTGGCCGGGCGAACGCCAAAGCCCAACCGATCCAACTCAAAGCAGGGAGTTCCCTAATTTCTCAAATCACGGGCTGTCTTACTCTTCGCTGCCCGAACTTTAGTGGTGGTTTTGACCAGGGCTGCCAAGAATGCTGACATGCCGGGCAGATGCTTCTTCACTTTTGGGCAATGTGCGTGGTTCCCACTTGCTCAAAGACGACCTTTGGCGTGGGTTTAAGTCGTTCTGCTTTCCTACGGGTCTTCGCTTGGAACAAATCACGGCGACTTCACACAAGATAAGTCGCGACCTCACCCATGGTCCCATCACAGGTCCCGTATTTTCCAGCTTGGCGAATCGGACATGTGTATAGTTGTGTTGTGTTGTTCGTTGGCTTTCTGTTCATTTTTCCGGGCTTTTCTTTTGTCTATGTATGCGCAGAGGGTTAATATAGAAAAGTTATGAATATATATATATATAATATGTATCAAGTACATATATATATAGATAGAGCGGCCTTCTTAGCCTCACGTCCCTCCGTGCGATTCTTCCGCTTCTCTCGCTCACGTCATGGCTGCTTCCATCGAGAAGATCGCTGTGCTCCCGGGCTTCGCGGCCGCTGACCTGGCGGGGTACCCTGGTCCCGCGCACGCGGGTTCGCGCACGAAGTCGGGATGCAATCCATCAGTATAACCCTTGCGGTCCATTTCTCACATACGTGTTATTTCTATGGTTTTGAAGGGATCTGGGTAGGGAATCGCAGATTTTGGGATCTCGCCAGTTCAGAAAGGATGCTTGGAAGGAGTCGTTCCCTCATTCTTGCACCCTTCCAGTGGTGTAAAGATCTGGGGAAAGAGGTGGGGGGATGGGATAGAAATGTTCAGCCTCCCTCTTGGTGGTTTAAATTGGTTTGGAGGTCAGGGTGGTTTCCGATTTCCGCTCTACCAGGGGTTCAAACCGTGAAGCCCGCCAATCCAAACCTGATTTTGGGGTAGCTTTTCCGTGCGAACAAATTGCGAGGAGACTCAGGCGCAGCTGCAGAAGGAGGTGGCAGCGTGTGCGGAGAAGAAGGCCCTGGGATCAACTAAATCTGGGACAAACTTTCACTGCCAACCGTAGGATTCGACACCTATTTTCTGTGCAGCAATTCTCAACCTTTTTCTGCCCCCCCCCGCCCAGTTTCCTGGAAAGAGATGTTTAGTGGGACGAACGAAAAGGGACTGAAGGATGCCTGAGTTTCGACTATTATAACACCCAGTCAAGTTCTGGGGTCCGTGCACTTAACTGGGATGTCCTCCAAAACTGTTTTATGTTTCAAGCTAGGCATATAAAACAAATTCAGAAAGTATGGTTTCTTGTAAACCCAAGTCTGGCTGGTGCTGGTTGCCGGGAAAGACGACCTGACACCCAATTAAGAATGCTGGGTGGGAGGGCGTACACAATGCTCAATCGGGTTCCAAGTCTTTTACGGTCCGTGGTTGCAACGGTTCCTGGCATGATGAATGAACGGCCCACACCAGAGCTGGAAAAGTTGGACGCGTGTTGTGATGGGGGTGATGGGGGGGAGAGGGGGCTAGCCCAGGAATTTCCAAGGATAAGGTGGCAATCCCCGGTTTGCCCTTGCATGTCGGCTGGATCTGAAATAGAGCTCGGGTTTTGGGATTTTGGTGTCCTGAACGGGTGCGTATTGTTGTTGACGCTGCCTTTCGGCAAACCCATAGGAAACCCCTTCCACCACAGTTGTTGTTTTTCTGGTGGGGGGTTCCTCTGCAAACCCCAAGCAAACCAACCACAACCGACGCCTTCTTGTGTTTTTTTGAGGGGGGGGACCTTAAAAAAGCTGCCTCTCTCTCCCTCGTTCGCCAGGCGCAGCTCGCGGCGCAGGTGGCAGAGGCGCTTCAGCAGAAAGAGGCGGCCGAGGAAGCCTTGAGCGCCCAGCAGGCGGAGGACGGCTGAGACGTCGACGTTTTGTTTGGTTTGCTGAGGTTCCCGTTGAAACTGTTGACCCCGTTGCCCCCAAATTTAATAAACCCAATTTCAATACTTAAAAAATGTGGGTGGACAAAATTTAGGTTGCTGCGTAACTCAGCTACGCATGCACCGTTTGATCTTTTGGTGTTCCCCGTTTGGTCCATTTTCGGAAAAAGGTCCCAAAATCCTAACCTGTTCTTTCCAGAAGACTACCAGAAGAAAGTGGCACGGCAAAACATTATCACTTGCAACCACACCGAATCGACCTGATCTGACCTTCTTCGTTTTCAATGTTTGGCAATCACTGGTAGCAAAGGTTCCAAAAGATGAACCTTGTTCTCAAATCCTTTGGGCAATTGAGCTAATGTTGACCCCAGATTAACAAATCCCAGCCCACCAATTCCAGGGTTAGGTGGTACGAATTTCGTCCATCTGCAGCGGGGGTAAAGTCAGAGAATTGAATTTGGTGGTTTCCTTCAGTCTACCAAAAGATGGGGGGGACTTTGGTGGTAATGTTGACCCAAGATTAATCAACCCCAGTTGATTAATAGGGAACAAAATGAAACCGTGGTTGAAACCATTGTTCGTTGGTGTTTACAGGGGAAGGGGGTGTCCCTGGGTTTAATGGGGATTCAGAAATTCAGACCACTATTGGAGGGGCCCCCACCCCCTTATGAATAGGACGGGTTTCTTAACCGCTGCGAATCGACATGTCTGGCCGAATTCGGTTGCAACCCATTTTCGGTCATGGCCTGAAATGGCTAACCTTTTTTTTGTTCTGGCTCCTTTGGGCAAGTGAGAAGGGCCATCTCGAATTTAGGGAACACCAAAAAGGGTTCTTTCCTTTTGGATTCCTTTAAAAGTCACCCAAAAAGAGGTGTGTGTGTGTGTGTCGAGAAACTCCCTAGATGGATAGGTAGTGTGTATATATATATATGTGTGTGTGTGTGTGTACATATATACATATGTGTGTGTACATATACATATATATATATATATATATGGTACCCCCCCCCCTCACTGCGATCCACCTTTTCATGGTCATTTTGAAGGTCATGTTGCAATCCATCCTCCATCTAGGTCTTCAATCATGGGGGGAGCGTGAAGGCGGGAACGCAACATGTGGACAGGGCATGGCGTTTCCTCAAGGACCGCCTGAAGAAGAATCAGAAGGTCCGTGCCGGCACAAAGCAGATGCGCGCCCGCATCAGATCCGCCCAGTACGAGTACTGGTTTCGAGGGTCGGATCTGTGGTCCAAGACCGGGGAACTGGTCAAGTATGCAATGTCAGCATATGTCCAGAAGTGACAAGAGCATCTCTAGCGGGAGAAAAACAAGTGCAGTCTGATCTTGCGCCAGTGCCATGATTGCATGCATGCTGTCGACCACACATCATCTGCATATCCTTCGACCTCTCTCCAGCTCAAACTCTTTGTGCATCTGCAGGAGCCCAAATCTGCTCGTCTGAAGGAGCAAGACACTTGCTCGTGTGAAAGAGCAACACATCTGCTTATCTGAAGGCGCAAGACATCTGCCCATCTGAAGAGCAAAACCATCAAAAAAGTGGATCGCAGTGGGGGGGGGGGGTAGCATATATATATATATGCGTGTGTGTGTGTAGATATATATATATGTAGATATATGCTTGCTCTTGTGGGACACTCACTCATCTCCAACTGTGTTTTTAGCTAACTTGCAATATTCATGCCCATCCACCGTGTTTTCTTTTAATGATCCAAGAGGTTTAGCTGAGATGTACGGTGAATACCCTGGAATATTGCAAGCAAGCCAACCATATGCAACCACCTGACATTTGCGTTGCCCCTGGTGCTTTCTTCCTTGTATCTTGTTTTTGGCCCAGGCCTTTCAGGTTCTCCCTCAACTCTTTGGAGGAGGTTCGCCTTTCATCTTCGCTGTTCTTGGTGTGTTCTGTTGTTGCTTTTTGTGTGTGTGTGTGAGTTCTGGTACTGATCATTTTAGTGGCCTGCGAAAAAGCACAGTTCCTGGCTATGCCAAGGAAAGTCAAAGATAACTGAGATCCTCTAGGTTAAGGAGCTTTCTTTGGCCAGCCCTCCATTTTGAACACGGAAAACGAGGAGCGCGCTCTCGTAGAGAAGCTCCAGCTGGAGGTGAATCAGCTGGTGGATGCGCAGGTGCGAGCGTTCCTTCCGGTGTTCCTCAGCTTTGCAGCTTCACCCCAATTGGTGGTGTTCCAGATGGCGGGGTTTCCCGTTTATCCCGCATAAGAACGGATTCAAATCCCACCACATTTCCTTTCGGCTTTGAAAGGCAAGCTAATTTCTGGGTACCAAGCCTGAAAAAGCACATCTTGCGCTGATCGGGTCGGGTTTTGTTCCGCCTGGGTTTCGGGCAACTTGACCAGACTTCGCAACTCTGTTGCATCCTTTGGCATCCAGCGTGCGAGGCAGCGCGTTACCCAAAAGAAAGGAAACCAATCATTTGTGGAGGTCTCCTATGGCACGCCAGTTTGCATCCGTCTGCCATCTTTGCCTTTCAGTACTTCACTTTCTGGCCGGATCCATCCCAAGTTTCGGGGAAGCGGGACCCAAGGGACAGTTGGGTTCCGAGGAAGGCGGGAAAT